GCCCACCTTACAGTCCCCCCTTAATTTTGCTCCAAGCAATTAACTTTCCAGTGTTCGAGGCAAGAGAAGGAAGTGCGACCTTTCCAGTTGACCCCGTGCTCACCGATTCTGGGCTCTTCCACGCCTGCCTGTTAATCTGAATGTCCGTGGGGCGGAATTTTCCTTCAATTTCCATTTCTCACACCTTTCTTGTCAGGCGGACTGTGCTGGCATTCATTTTGCACTTATCTGATTTTTCAAACTTTACTGTATTAAAATGTTCAGATCTAGTCACACACTGACAAATCATAAACCTCTGTCTCTGTGGGCCGCGGCGGATTGGCTGTGCCCGCAGCGTGGAGCCACGCAGGGTGACTGAGCTGTGGTGGCGACAGCACTTGAGGGTCCTGCTCTCAGCGGATGGGGAAAGTGCTGGTCCCCGGCCTTGACTCACTCCTGACTGTGCCCGGAAAGGTCCTCCCTGGGCGCGGGGTTCCAGGGACGGTGACCTCTTGGTGTCCGCCCCTCAGGGTCAGTCCTCAGCCCCTCCCCATCTGCCTGACCTCGTCACGTCCTGGGATTTTCTGGTTGTCTGGGTTTCCAGCAGTTTGGCCGACAGGCCAGGGAGCCCTGTGCCCTGTCTGCTCTCGCCACACTCCCGGGTGGCGCTGGCCTCCCCGTCCATGCCAGTGGCACTGTGCGCATCCCCTGTCCTTCCTGCTCCCTCCTTTCCCCCACTCCAGCCTCACGCCACTAGACGATTTCCTCCGTCCACGGCGCCGGGGCTTCCTTCCATTGTCAAAGTATCTTTCTCTCCGCTTTATTTCAGGAGATTTTCTCTGACCTGTCTTTGCCATCACCGATGCCGCCTTCTTCACTAACTCATGTGCTTTGAGCCCATTTAATTTTTTTGCTCTTTGTTTCAATCTCAGGTGTTGTTTTCCACTCTAGATTGGTCCTTTTTCAGAATTCCCGTTTTTGTTCTCAAATACATACTCCACCCTCTGCTTCACTGTGCATGTGGTCAGTTTATGTCATTAAACGCTCATGGAAGCTGTTGTACAGCCTTGCCTGTTAATAATGATTCATCGGCGTCTCCCATCCTGCATCTTTGCATGGATTCCTCCTCACGGTTTGACACTCCTGTCCTATTTCATTTCAGATGTGGCCTATTGAAGGCCATGAGGCTGCAGGGTCTGTCTCTGTTCTCTGGGTTCTTCTGGCCTGCTCCCTGGGGCTCGTGGCTCTGTGCAGCGGGGACGAGAAGCAGGTGCCTCACAGTGTCCTCCGGAGCTGGCCCAGGGCTGCAGCTTGGAGGGAATGGATTCAACCCCCAGAGCACCTCCTTGCCTGGATGTCAGCCCTGGCGGGGGCAACGGCACGTCCCACTCCGTCCAGGTGCACAGGTGGTGACCGGGGGTCGACGGCCGCCTGGTACCAGCCCATCCTCTTCCACTGCTTTCTGGTCCAAACTCTGTGTGAGGGAAGGAGGCCGGGGACCCGGGAGTGGGCAGTGGGCTGATGGGTCTCTCCCTCCCGTGGATCCTGGGCTCTGAGGCTCTGCTGCAGGTCGCCAGCCCACACAGAACTCACAGCCGTAGGAGTTCTCTCAAAGTCTCAGTTGACAAGGTCCTGTCCACGCGGGACCAGCCGCTGCCCCCGTGTCGGGTGTGGAGACAGTGTCTGTCCTGCCCGTCCCCCAAGGACGGCCTTTTCCCCAGAAGCCACCTCTTGACCATTTCAGGCACCGCTGTCCACTCTCCTTGTGAAGAGGCAAGGTGGTGGCTGGTTCCGGCCCTCCTGGGCCACCTGGCGGCCTTCTATGCCTTGGTGGGAAGTGGACATCAGCAACACCACCAGTCTCCGGATCTGATTGCGTCCAAGGTCGGTCATTGGCGTGTTCAGGTTTCTCTTCCTTTTGATCCCCGAGGAGAAGCCACGTACCTTGGATAAATTCCGCATTTCTGTCTCTATGTGAAAACGTATTGGCATAAAGCTGATTATTTAAAGTGTTCTCTTATTGCGATTCCTCATTCTACTGGATCTTTACTTTGGTCTTCTTCCTAATGTCACTGCTTAGAATTACCCTTTCTTCTTTTTCCAAATGTGTGTTCAGGGCTTGGATTTCCCTCTGAGTCTTCCTGAGCTCACGAAGCTGACATGCTACATTTTAATAACCAAAATATTGTCTCACTTCTATTTTGATTTTTTGGCTCACAGATTATTTAAAAGCATGTTGCTCAATTTCTCAGAAGTTAGATTTTTTAATTTAATGGATTCCTACATAAATTACACTGTGCTTAGATAGGTGATACGGATTTCAGTCTGTGGGAATTTGTGCCAGGTCTGGCTGTGGCCCCGCGTTAGGAAATGTAAACTGTGACCCTGTCAAGCATAGGTCTGGGCTGTGCTTTCTGTTTGGTTTGGTGGACTGTTTTGTGATTTTTTTGTTCTTCCAGCATAAGTGTGTGTTTAAATGTGTTCCTTATGGGTATTAGTCTAGTAGACAGTTTTTTTTAAAAAAAAATTTAGTTGTGAATGGACACTTTTTTAAAAATTTTTATGTAGTGCTGAGGATCGAACCCAGGGCCTCACACCTGCCAGGCAAGCGCTCTGCCACTGAGCCCAGCCCAGCCCCTCTATTAGACGTTTTTATAGAACGTCAGTTCTAACTTTTGTGTTTGATCCATTTGAATACATTCTGACTATTGATATAGTTGGCTTTATTTCATGATATTCCGCGCCTTATTGTCCTGACTCTTTCTGCTACTTCAACATTTTTGTTTGGTTTTGTTTTTTTCAGTATGTCATCGCTTTGTCCTGTGATTTAAATGAAAGACTCAAAGTTCCCATCAAGGGCACCTTCACATTCACGGGGAGACTTCACAAGGGCCTGATTCCAGCTGCCTCCATTCCCAAATATCCTACTGATGTCTCTTTGTGGTCTCACCACATGGTTGTAAACTCAAAAATCAGTTACTGATTGTTTGACACAACCATTATTTGTTCAGCGTTATCTGCACAGACATAAACATATCTCATCAGTTTTCTCTGAATCCACTTCTTGTACTTGGTGGTTGAAATCGTTCACCATTCTCTCTAGCTTTGCAGACCCAATCACACTGTGCTACATCTTTCTATTTCAACCTTTATTATTTTAATTTCTCTTTTATGAATCCGGCAACTCTCTCCTTCGGTGCTCCATTTAACATTTCTAAAGGTTTATACTCCATTTGGACAATTCCTTCTTTCCTTGTACCAAACCCAGTATTCGTGAGGTGGCATGATTTCTTTCTGAAACGTCTTGTTTCTTTGCCTGAATCTCAGGGGTTTTCCCAGAGTCTGCTGCTCCTGACGTCTCCATGGTATCCTCTAGTGTCTTGGTTACGCCTGCCACTTTGCACCTTGATTCCCTCTGTTCTGTCCTTCTGCCCTCTCCTGGTCAGTCTGTCCCGAGGCTCTAAAGGAAGCAGGGCCTTGATGGGCAGTGACCCCGAGGGTGCCTCCACCTGAGCTCTGCCTCCTGGGAATGGCCACAGTCCATGATTGACACCCAGGGTCATGTTTCAGGCCTCCTCCCCTTTCACCTCGGGCCCTGCCTGGGGTCATCAATCTTCCTCTTCCTGGCTGTGGGTTTCGTCTCTGGCTGGCTTTTCCTGAATGTGCAGACCTTCAGGTTCCCAGAACTATGTGGACATCACTCTGCATCCTCCTCCTTGGCGTGAACCAAAGACTCACCTGCTAGGCTAAAAAAGCATTTCAGCTCCTAGGCTGGAAAGCACCCCGGGTGTCCTGGCTCCGTGCTGGAGACCCATCGTTATTTTGGAGGCTGATTTTATTCCCTGAGGTTCTCCCTTCCTCTCCCAGCCTCCTGCTGCATGACCCTCCTCTGTGACTATTAGGTAAGGGCACAATGGAGAGCCTTTCCCCAGTGGAGACACATCTACAAACCTCCTGTCACGGAGTTCCTGGGATTCTGGAGGACAGACCAGATGGCAGGCAGTCTTGTGGGGCCACACCAGTGTTGGGGACCCTCGGTCCCAAAGCATCTGCTCCCTGGACCCTGAGGTGCTGGTGGCTGCTTCAAGGGCGCAGCACTGACCGGGAAGCAGTCGGGACTGGGGCAGACAGTTGGGAATCAGGCTCTGCATGTGGGGAGGAAGTGTTGTGTGGGCAGAAAGAGAAAGGGGTCTGGCAGTGTCCACACAGGGGTGCCCACAGTTGAGTGGACAAATCGAAGGAAAAGAAAGCATGACCAGGACGCTGGAGACTGACCCAGCCAGCACAGTCCCACAGGGACCAGTGGGGGTCAGAAGCTGGGCGATGGTGGCAGCAGGAGGGCAAGCGAGCGGGTGGGCTGGTCTTCCTCAGGGCACACACCTGTTTGGCTCTCCAGGAAGCCTCCTGCTAACCCCTCTAGATGTCCGGGCAGCCTCTGCTCATCAGCCCCCGAGCACAGTTGTCCACTGAAGGCCACAGCTGGAAGCCTTCACTGGACTGCTCCCTGAGCAGCAGCCAACAGAGATTGACGGGAGCGAGGAAGACGCACACAGAGGTGTGTGCACCTGTGGGGAGAGAGGAGCTGTCACAAGAGGTGAGACAGGGCAGGGATCCAGGGTTCCTGGGACAGAGCGGGCAGAGCAAAGGAGGCGGACGGCGCAGTTCCTGTCCTCCACTGGCTGCCCAGCGCACTGTGCTTCTCCACCTGGAAAGGCTTCTGCAAGCTCACAGTGAGCAGGAGCTCACTCCCTCAGCTCCTGGCTTCCCCGCTGCCCAGGTCTCCTCTGGGGGCAGGCAATGTCCTCCCTGCTCTCTCCCACGCCTCCCCAGGTCCTCAGTGCAGCCCCCCTGGCTGAGTTAGGCTCTGGCGGGGACGGCGTCTTTCCCTTAACCGCCTGTGCTCAGCCTGCAAGGCAGCCTGAGCACCAGCCCGAGTCCAGCTGCTTCCTTGGCCCCGTAGCTCACTTGTTGGAGGTCTCTTTCTCTCTGGTGATCATTTGTTTCTGTGTTTTGCTCTCCAGGTAAAGCCGTGGAGGACTTCTTGTGTGCACACACCTACTTGCCTCAGGACGTGAGTTGGTTCTTCTTTACACAGAATCCTGAAATGCAGACCCTGAGCCGGAGGCTGAGGCTCCTGCCTGACGGGCCGGCCCTCGCTGAGGTGGCTTGTCAGCACCCGTGTCTGGGGGTCCCCGTGCACATCCCCACCAACACTTGCGACTATGGTTTTTTACACTTTTTTCCTAATATAAGAGGGAAGAAAAATCTCAAGTTTGTACTGGACAATCTTTTAAAGTTTTTTGGCAATTTCCTCTCATAGTCCATGAGTCTTCCTTCCATATTCTGCTCCCCCAGGTTTCTCTCGTCCCTGTTGATTCGGGGGACTCTCCGTAAGTGCTGAGCACCGTCTTCTGCCGGTTCCTGTTGACACAGAGTTTGTCTCTCTGCCAGCGTCTGTTACTATCTGAATTAGTCACTTATGGCCATGACTCCATCGGCACCTCTCCATGAGGTTGCCAGGGCTTTCCTGTGGCTCTACTGTCCCTGCCTCAGGTCACGAGACATGGCCCAGGCTGTGACCTCACACAGCCCTAGAGCTCACCTGCATCCACCATCAGCTACCACCTATCCACAGCTTCAGCAGGTGTGTGGCCGAGGGTCCTCACTTCATCTCTTACTGGACAGGTCCCGTCCTCGCTGACTTGAGTACCACTCTGACTATCTGTTGATCTCACATTAGGATGTGTAGGCTCCCTGTGTCTGTCTGTTTCTGGATTGCCTATTATGTTCTTGTATCGTCCCCAAAGAAAAGGGGACAGTCACACACCACGTCCCTGAACGCCCTGTCCATCCCCCCCCCATCCTGGCCAGTCAAGGGGGCAGAGAGCAGGCCTGGGCAGAGGGTGTGGACACAGCACCTGGAGGTGGCTGCTCCCGGGCACACGGGGAACCAGGGCCGCCCTGTTCTCTATGGGAAGCGCCTTTCTTGCCCCTGAGCTGGGGCAGCTGCTCTGGGACGCTGGGCAGGCAGCACACTAAGCCAGCCACGGTGACAGCCTCGGGTACAGAACCCTGCCTGTGTGGGGACAGGCGCAGGACGGAGGGCTCCCTGGAAAGGGCACGCGTCACTGGTCCAGTGGCCACCACAGGACAGAACACCATGAGGGACGAGGCGCTGCTGTCACTGGTGGCCACTGAGCCCTTCTCGGGCAGTCCTGCTCTCTGGTCAGCGTCCTCAGCAAGCCCCGGGCCCCGCGCTGTCTCCAGCACTTTCCTCGGTCTGTCTGCAGCCTCCCCTGTCCTCACCCAGGTGTGGTTGTTTTATTACCTACCTTTCTGGCACATCCGCAAGGGCAAACCGAGGTCCACTCCTGCCAGAACCGTGGGTGGTGGGCGTGTGGGTGCGGGGCAGCCACATACAAGGTCACTTGCTGCAGCCCACACCCAACTGCTACTCGAGCAAGAAGGAAGCTTGCGTTTGCTTGGCCCTGGGAATTCTGGTCCCTGGCTCTGGTGCTGGTCTGCTCTGATCAGTGCCAAAGGCCTCCATCTATTCAGGCCAACTTTCAGTTTTTCCGCCTGTAAGAACTGTCTGGAGCTCTTTGAGATTAGGATTTGGACTGTGAATGGAATTTTCCCCCTATTACATTTTCTATTCGGTGGTTGCTAGTTATAGAAAAGCTATTGATTTTCAGAGGTTGATGTATTCAGCCTCAGGTTACTGAGCTCTCGACCAGTTCTTAAAATTTGTCAGCTTCTGCCTCTGCATTTTTATAGGAAAGAATGTTCTCATATACATCACGTCGTGCTGCCCGTGGGATTCCCCCCCCCTATTTTTCCTTTTGAACCTTGAGCACGATATGAGAGGGGTGTGGAATGGGCCATCTTGCTGAGCGGATTGGGAAACCACCGCAGTGTCCTGCTGTTTAGGAACACGCCTGCCTCGTTTTCCAGTAAATACTTTTCATCAAGATAAGAGCCTTTCATGACTGTTTGTTTTCTAAGTGGCTTTATCAGGACTGTGCGTGGCTTTTATCACATGCTCCAGAGCATCTGGTGAGAGGATGGGAGTTTCTCCCTCATTCCGCTAATGCGATTTCCCCGCCGACAGGTTTTCCTAGCGTCTCCATCTTCCTGAGATTGACGCTGGGAGGCTGTCGGATGCCATCCCCGAACACCTTGTTGATCTCAAGACTGATATTATCTAGAGCTTGTTCATCTGTTTAAAGGACTTGAACGTGGATTTTTTCCCCTGTGCTTGTTTATTTCTTGCGGTGTCATGGCTACAGCTACATGAAGACCTTTTTTTTTTTTTTCGGTACCAGGAAGTGAAGCTGGGGGCACAGGACCACTGAGCCACATCCCCAGCCCTTATTTTGGGACAGGGCCTCTCTTAAGTTGCTTAGGGTCTCACTAAGTTACCGAGGTTGGCCCTGACCTTGCTATCCTCCTGCCTCAGCCTCCCAAGCTGCTGGGATTACAGGTGTGTGCCGCCGCACCTGGCTTCATCTAGTAATCCAGCGCGGTGCGTATGTATCTCTCTTTGCCAATTTTCTGAAAGTTTATAAAACTCCTGATGTACTCCGTGTATGGGGCACTCGCTGATACAAATGTTCCTTTCAGCTGTTACTGCAAAAGATTTCACTTATATTGCATACCAGTGCACAGAAATTTCAATTCTTAATTGTTTACTTTTGTCAAAATTAATCTACACAATACGCAATTTTAAAAGCTATCGAATTCTACAAGTTTTGTTTTACAAAATAGCTCTTTTCCCCACCACCTCTCTGCCTGTCCCCAGTAACAATGGTCTAATGGATTTCCTCTGCCACATGAGATATCGTTTGCATGTATCTATTTTGTCTAGCGAATGTCATCATACTGACTCGTAATCTCTCCATCATCAGGTATCACTACCGTCTTCCCGCAAGACAGGCCATGGGTTTGATTTCTTATAACCATCCGAAAACCCACACATGCACATGCCCTCCAACCGGACCATCACACCCAAGATTCCGGGACTGGCTTATATTTGACATTTACGTGATTTTGACTCTATTATAAACATATAAAGGCCATGTACAAAAGCCTTTTACTATTTCAATCCTTCTAAGAGGGTTTTTTCCTGTGGTAATTACCCCACTCTTCATGCTTATCTAAAATAATTCATGCCAAACTCCCACCAGACTTGGATCCCTCTTGGTGTATTTTAGTTATTTGAGGCTCTCCGTGTGGAATTACTGTTTGTAAATACAGTGCTTGTGAGTGTGGATGAGGTTTGTGTGTGCATGTGCATCCGTGTACACGTGTGTGTATGTGGATTTTGTAAAATACAAAGACATGCCCGCTCCATATTTGTAAGAGTGGTTCCCATTATTCTTTGTAACCTGTTGGCCGTCTCTAATCACTTGAACACACCACCGCTCACATCAATAAATCGGTATTAATCTATCCTGCTGTTGATAAGCATTTGGGACATTTCCAGTTGATTTGAAAAATGATGCTGTCGTGAGCATGCTGCGTGTACCTACCGGTGCTCCCACACATACGTGCTGCCCTGGCGGTACCCACAAGGTAGTAACTACCGTCTGGCAGCTCCATCACCGAGCTGGGTGCTGAGGCTCGGCCACTGCTGAAGCCGACTCGGTTTCATTGCTTCCTTGCCAACATCTGCATTTCCCAGCCTTGTGCATTTTAGCTGTTTTGACAGAGAAACAGTCTGGATGTGGCTTGTTCCCAGGGTTCATGTGCTGGAAGTCTGGTCCCCAGGTGGTGGTGTCGGGACGTGATATGGAACCTTTAAGAGGGGCTTAGGAGAAGGTCCTGTGTCAATGGAGGGGGCACCGTTCAGGATTGGGGGACTGGGCCCTCCCCTGGCTTCCTGCTGGGAGATGTCTTCTCTTCCCCATTTAGGAGAAGGTCCTGTGTCAATGGAGGGGGCACCGTTCAGGATTGGGGGACTGGGCCCTCCCCTGGCTTCCTGCTGGGAGATGTGTTCTCTTCCCATTTAGGGGCGCTCTCATCACAATGGGGCACAGCCAAGGGGGTCCCCCCAACGCTGAGCTGATGCCAGCACCATACCCTTGAACCTCCAAAATCTTGGGCTAAATAAACTTCTTTTCTTTGTAAAGTCAGCCTGCCCCAGGTGTTTTGATATGGTAACACAAAATGCTAGCTAATATGCATTCCTTCGCCCGTGGTCTTGGTCTCATGTTCTCCTGGTGGCTAAGGAGCTGAGCGTCTTGCCATGTTTATTGGCTCTTTGGACCTTCTCTCTCATGAACTACCTGGCAGTTGCATTTTCCTCTTACTAATAAAAAGTTTATGGACTTAAATTTTAGATTTTAAGTGAATCTAATTGTTGGTTTCATGATTTCTTTGGTGATCTTTGCATCTTATTCAAGAAATCTCCGCCTATCCCCAGGCCTGGATATCAAATAGCAAATGCTGTCCCCCACTTGTGAGTTTGCCTTCTTAGACTTTTGAAATATAGGAGTCTGAATATTTCCAGGTCATCTGATACATCAATCTTTTCCATTAGTGCTTTTATGTCTGATCAATAAATCTTACTGATACCCAAGTTCATTAAAAAAATTACTTCTGATAAATCCAATAAATTTTAATAATTTATCATTTTCATTTAGATCTAAAATATATCTGGTTTCTTCTTTTATAAGATGTGAGTTAAAGGGTCAAAGTATTCCCCCTCTCCCCTGTGGGCATCCAGTGACCCAGAACTATCCATTAAAAAAGTGTGCCATACACTCTCCACCACACTGTCAGACTTCATACCCCCTGCCATGTTATCTGATTTGAAAATGCTCATGAAAACACTAAAGGATTGGAACGAACATTTACATACTGTAAGTCAAAGAAACAAACTATTAAATAAAATGTACTCTAGCATCCCACATTGAAAAAAACACATTCTTGTTGCTAGTTAAAATTTCCACTTAAGCATTAATTTTAGGTTTATCTATACTAATCCATTATTTAATTTTTTACAATTTATTATTTTTATTTATAATTTATTGTTTTTAGTATTATTTTTTAATTTATAAATTATAGTATTTATTAGTTTTATTATCATTCCAAACATTTTCCAAATTGATGGTTTTTGACCAAAAATTTGTTTAAAATCATTCTTATTCTCATGTGTATGAGGATTTCCTAGCTACTTTTGTCATTAATTTCTCATTTCAGGACTTTGAAAATATACACTTTATCTTCTGTCATTCATTTTTCTCTCAAGATATTAGCTATCAGTTTATTGTTATTCCTTTGAACGAAAAGCTTTTTAAAAAACCTTTAA